GAAGGAAGGAAGGAAGGAAGGAAGGAAGGAAGGAAGGAAGGAAGGAAAAAATAACCTAAAATAAGACAGCCCTGTTTTCTCATCCACCTTCCAAAATCTGCCACATAGCACTCATGTGCCAGTTCTGTAGCCCCTAGGGGCACTGCCTACCAGCAGGGATCAGGGTGGTGGAGGAAAGCAGAAGATGGTCCCTGGGGAGTGGGGACTGAAGAAGTAGAAAAAAAGACTAAGACCCAGAGTCCATGGCAGGATGAGGAGGAGGCGAAAGGAAGTGGTAGAAGAGCTCTGTTTAAAGATAAAAGATTTAGCCCTCTTCTGCACAGATCAAGCCAAGGAGAGGCCCTGGTGGGCTTAAGTTGACAGCTCTATGAAGGTGGTTTGGGGAAGGTGACCAAACACCTATTGGCCTGGCAATAAAGGAACCTGGGAAATGCCAGACAGTCCTGGGGACAGTGTTAGGAGAGCATTGCTTGTGGGAGAAGATGGGGCAGAACACTGGGAGTATGAGAGGCAGAATGAAGATTTCCAAGTAGCTGATGGATCTATACAAGGGACTAGCCCAAGCTCATTTGAGTCTTCACCCATCTTGTCCTGTCCTGTCCCTACCCACTCTACTCCTCCACCCCAGATCACCAGCCCAGGCCATACCAGATCCACCTACCCCGCAATGCCGCACCTATGGCCTCCTCAGTGAGATCTCGCACACTGCCCCAGGTAAGGCCCACGTCACAGCTGGTCACACAACATAGGCGAGCAGCGTTCTTGCCAGTGGCTATTTGCACAGCCTCCGGTGTGTGGCCCAGCACCGCAATGAAGAAGAGGAAGATGGTTCCGGAGTGCTCATCCAGCACTGGGCAAGGGTTCATAGACCTGTGCTCTGCCAGCACCGCGGTCTCCAGTACACTCAGAGTGCCCCACTGAGGGAAGAGAGGCAGTCAGTCAAGACATCTAGAGCCTGACCTCAGTCTTCTGAGGTGGTAGAGCTGGGCTTTAGTTTCCACTCTGCACCTAGCACTCACCCGCACTGAGCCCTTGGCCAGTGTGCCCCTCCGAAGCACCAGGCGGTGGGCATGAGAGTCATTAGGGCTAAGCCGCTGTTCGGCGAAGGCCAGCAGGGTAGACCTGGGAGGCACACAGAGCAGCGCAGGTACACGGTAGGTCAGGCCTGTCCTCTCCTGCTGGAAGAGCACTGTCCTCCTGGGAACACGAGGGGGCCCCATGCCCTTCTGGTAGAAGCAGGGCACCAGGGAGTCTGTTGGGAAGGAAGTGCCACAGATTTACATGGCCATGGGCCTGCCCTATGCCCACCTGCTCATCTTGATGGCATTTTCCATCTCCCTCACCTCAGATTTCTCAAACCCTATAACCCAGATCCCTGACAGCCTCTGCACCCCAAATGTCTATGGAACTGTTCTCTTCCTTCTCTCCAAGCTGCTCCTTTGCCAGGCTAGCTGAGTACAGGCAAGTGGACAAAGTCAGACAAGGGGGGACTCAATGTTCACAAATACAGTATGTGAGACCAGGGAAGGCACACCACCCAGCAGAGGCAGATGAACACTAGAACCTATCCACATGGAAGTAGAAGGGAACTCCAGATGTCTCCACAGACAATAGAGCTTCAGACACAGGGATACACCTACTGAATCCCTGGGCTGCCTAGGTGTTTGGAGAAGAACAGAAGAGCTGCGCTCACCTGTAGCATACCCCAAGGGGCTCTCCTATGCACCAGAGAAAGAGAGTGAGAGAATGCTAGGGACAGCACTGAACAAAACGCCAAGGAAAGGAAAGCCAAGAAGATCAGAGAGGTCCTGGCTTAGCCCTAAACTAATGCTTCCCTGTCAGAGCAAGGTCAATGTGAGGCTGAGAAGATGGGGGAGTGGGTGGACAGAATTCCATGGCCAGGAAGATGTACTGAATAAGGAAGGACAAAGGCCACTCCTCATGGTCATCTGCTGTCCTGTCTCTTACCCTATACCCCCACAGCCACTTCCTAACTTCACCTACAAGCCAAAGATCAAGCAGGTGACAGAGTCTATTTGATCAGAGAGCTTCTGCGCATCTTACCCCTTCTTGTCTATACCTCCACCCCAGGCATCCACATCTGTGAGGTGCTGAACTGAGGGACGGCTAGGAAACACTTCCAGGTGGAACTGAAGCCACAGCAGAGTGGCCAGGCAACCCCAGAGTATGTATACCCTGACTTAGCCTCTCAAAGGAGGACCTGTTGGGGCTATGTTGAGGGTATGAGCTGAACCTGCCAGGGACTGCTGTCTGATTTGGGCAATGGCAGACCAGAAGGTGAGTATATAGCTAATGTAGGACATGGTCAGCCTGCAATCATCTAGGCTAGACCACTACCAGCCAAACAGCACATGGCCAGGCACAGCCCACAGCAGCCACTCCTGACCAGCCTACCACAAGGCATACAGAAGTATCTAGGTAAGGGCACCAAGGGTAGGCAAAGAGCAGGATGCTAGAACAGAGCTCAAGTCTCAGTAGGGACCTAGTATGATTGGAACACAGGATAGAGAAGAGTAGAGGACAGTTACTTACTCACGCAAAGCAATAGCAGGTTCCACAGACCACAGAGGGCTGTGCTGACCACCACTAGCTCCAAGCCTTAGGTCCTCTGAGTCTACCAAGCACAGTCCAGGCCACAAGCTCTGAGATGCACACTGTCCTGCCCACCCACTACTAGCTCTGGGGCTTCTGAGCAGCTTCCTGTCTCCTGGAATCTCCCCAGCTCTGCACTCAAAGGGCAATTGTACCCAAGTAGAAACAGGTGCGAGGAGCCACGTGTCCCTTCAGATGGAACAGGCACAAGAGAGACATTCTCTTATATTTGGATAGCTTCCCAAAATCTAGGACCACGGGAACTATGAATACAGCCTGCAGAAGCTGGGAGCCTGAGCCCACTCCCCAGCCTGGAAACAGAACAGAACCCAGAGAGGCTCCAGACACCATCAGGTCACTTCTATTGTACACAGGGGAAGCTGAAGACTTCAAAGGGGACAGGGCTGTCACACTTTAGCATCATCTCTTCCTGAGGCAGCTCTGGGTTTCCATGGAGCTTCACAGTCCTGGGGAGACCTCAGCCAAAGAGCAGAAGCAGGACCTCCCCCCATGCCAGCTGTCCATGTGGTCCATTCAGTAAGTTCCAGGGATGGGGACTGTCCAGGAAAGTGGTGTTTCAGCATAGACCCATGACATCCCAAGAGAAGTCTTCCTTGGGTGAAGTCACAGAGAGGAAATTGAAGCCCTAATCTCTGGCAGACAGGGATGTAAACTTCCAGGTACAGCTTGCCCTGGGCAAGCTGCTACCCCAGAGCACCAAAGGCAGCCCAAGTCTTTGCTTCATACCCTCACTGGCCACCTCATGCTTGGAATTCTCAGCTTGACACCAGGGAAATCAGAATCGCTTCTTGGAGTCTTTAATCTTATTGATTTAAAAAAGAAAATTATTACCTTTTTAAAAAAATTTTACTTTGGTTAGTTATGTGCATCTATAAATAGCATGGGTTCTTTTAGCCAAGTATGGTGGCATACACCTGTAGTCTCATGGAAGGCTGAGCCAACAGGATTTCTTGAGCCTTGGATACTAAATTAAATTAATTAAACTAATTAATTTAAAAGAATTTTATGAATTATTTTAATGAAACTAAGAATTCAACAAAGGCTTCCCAGTGATGTGATAATCATGAGGGGCCCCTAAGGATGCTCCTTGTGCTGCACATTATATTGGTAAATTGTGATGTATTGTTTGAGCTCACTGAGAAACTGCTTCCAGAAGCAGATCCGCCCTTCATTTCAGGAAAGAAAATAACAAAACAGGCCAATAATAAAAACATTATTGAGATTGGCTAAAAGGTAATTTATTTTCAAAATGTATTAATTTTGAAAATAAATTAATTTATTAATTAATTTAATTAATTTTAATTAATTTTTAAGATTTATTTTTAATTACAAATATATGTATGCCTGAAGGTGGCTATATGCACATGAATGACAACATCTGCATGAGCATACACAAACATAACTTTTTGAAACTATATATGTATAACTTTCATTTATATTTACAATTTGTCAGATTTCTTTAGGATTTATTTGTGTGTGTGTGTGTGTGTGTGTGTGTGTGTCTCGCACATGCACACTGTTACTGTGGTTGCCTATAGAAGCCAGAAAAGGGCATTAGATCGCCTGGTGCTGGAGTCACAGGCAGTTGTGAGCCACCTCATGTGGGTGCTGGGACCTAACTCTATTCCTCTACAGGCCCCACTGTCAATTTTAAGTTAGACTGTTGATTTTATTTTATTTTTCTACCATAGCACTAAGCAGTCAAAATTTCAAATTGATTCTGCTATGGTGAGGTTGTCTAGGTTTTCAGAAACTGTGTCATGCAAGCTTCCAAGGGAAGGAAGGAACCAAGAGTCCTAACCAGATATGACACATATGAATACAACAACAACCAGCATGGGATGATATCCCTAATGGTGCTATAGTGGCACAGGTAACTTAGGGGCAACCAATAGCTCTCTAGTTGAATTAAAGGCCACTTAACAAGAGGGAAATCATGCCTACTACTGGAAACCTAGCTAGTGAAGTCATGGATCTTGAAGGAGAACTTACAACCACCACTTTACTAAGCCAGCATAATTTATAACTACATTCTTAATGGTTATCCTCAAACCCACAGATAAGTATGGTTCTCACTCCTCAACAGGAGAATTTCTCTTTGCAACAGATAGAGACAGAAAACTGCAACTGATCAAAATGCAGAGAACAAATAATTCCTGCACCTCAGGTTCAGGGATCGTAAGTAAAGGAGGGGAAGGGCAGAAAGACTGTAGGAATGAGAAGTTTGTTGTGAGACTGCATACCCTATAAATGTCACAAAAGCAATCCCCATGAAGTCTCATCAGCATGGCTGCCCAAATAAGACCTGAACAAGATGATACAGCTAGACATGTTAACAAGAAAGAGGAAAAAAATCTCACCGGCCACCAACCCAACCCTAGACAAAGAGCAACTAAGGAATGCTAAGAGCTGAAAAAAAATAGTCTTCCCCAGAGAAGATCCCCAATTGATCATCGAATCCAAAGCAGTCAGCCTTGAAATCATATACATAGAAGTAACATTATAGGATTGAGCAGGTTGTGCTTATATATTTCAGAATTATATATTAGATGATATTATCTATTATAAATATAATTTATTAAATTATACATATGTAATATCATATAAATTATATAACATAATATATATAACATGTATTATCTTTTTATAATATAAGCATATAATGTTAGATAATTGTATAGTTTAAATATATAATTCATATATACATATAATTCCTAAATATATAAATAATTAAGGAGAAAGAGGCCATGAATTTGTGAGAGAGAGCAAAATGGGGGTACATGATAGAGGCTGAATAGAAAAAATTGAAGAGGAAAATAATCATATTTTTATTTCAAAAGATTGAAAAGCATTAAAAAAAATAGTGGATGGTTGCTACAGGTTGTGCTCTGGCCCCTGCCCCACATACGTATGCACACACACTCACATACGTATGCACACCTTCATGCACACATCCACATTCACACACACACACACTCCCAAGGCAACAAACCAACACTCTGATGCCAAATTCACATCATTAAACATTTGGTTGAACTGATACCTTATCTTGGAGAAACCTGAATTTGTTCTGCATTTTACTCCTGAATTATTTCTCCAAGAGCTGCTGGACCTCAGCATGCAATAAGACATTACTATGCTCCATTTCTACATTACACACAAAAGGAGGATCAGCTCCTTTAATGCATTTGCCTCCAGGTAATCCATAAGTTCTTAACCTACCACAACATGTACAGTTAGTTCACCTGATTGTTTTTCTTTTAGCAACAAGACTTTCTCAGTGAAGGATGCAGGGCATGGTCTACATTCTGTCACATCTTCCCTAACAAGTGTTTGCTCCAGAGTGTTCTCCCACCATTGCAGCTCTACTATCAGAGCACACACTGCTCCACAAAACTTAAGCTCCAAACCACGTTTGTTTCCAATGCACTCTGCTGTGGTTTTGCATAGCTCCCAGCTAGCTGTGTTAACTGGAAATAATGCTAAGAAGAATTCTTCATATTGCCACACTATAATTACTACATCCACAAATCTGAACATTCTTTAAGTTACAATTTTTTTTAATTGCTGGAAAAATTTGAGGGGACACGGGGTTTCACTATGTAGCCCTGCTTGGCCTGGTACTCTATGTAGATCAGGCTGCCCTCAAATCCATAAAGACCCACCTTCCTCTACCTCCCAAGTGCTAGGATAAAGGCATGCACCAACACATCAAGAAAAAAAATTGTATCTGGAGGATATAAGTTGAGAGTCCAGAAAGAGAACGGGTGTTATGTGGCACTGGCATGTGGCATGTAGCAGTTTGGAGAGACCAAAGAGATAGATGGTTTGGAGCAGGGAGAAACGCTTCCATGTGCAGCAGCTGGAAGGAGACTGTTGTCTGCATTTGCTGTTGGTGGATTGGATAACCCTAAAAGAACCCATTGACTCTAAACAGCTGGGAGAAGGAAGGGGGTCTGCACCCCCTCTCCTCACTAACCTTCTCTGTCCTACCTAGGGTTGGGCAGTTGTTGGAAAGAAGATAGAGGCATAAATACCCCAAATAAAACAGGGTTTTAAAAATGAGCACTACAAGAACACATCAGGATGCTGCTGCTGTGTCTCCCACTAGCAATGTGTGTACCATAGCTAACAAAAGGACCATAACACATCCAATAGGAGTTCTGGAAGGGGAACCTTCTGTTCTAGCTTTAGAATTTCATCTGTCTACCAAGACCAAAGAAAATCCCACAAGCCATGCCTGGAAATTTAAAGTATTTAGGCAGAACTTTGCTTTGTTAGGAGTATCTGGAACGGGCTCTTTTCACTGGACAGACAATTTGCCCTAGTTTATCTCACCTATGGCTAGTCTTCCAGTTGAATAAAATTGTAATATTTTATCTGCCCTGAGATCAACCCCTGGAAATGATTGCCCAAAGATGATGGCAATTTCCTTGACAGTTTTCTTTTCTTCTATTTGTTTTATCAACCAAAAGTTTTGTTTCAATTAAAACACATACATTTAATTTAAATGTTCAAACACTCCAGGAGATTGTAAAAGTGAAAAGTGATCTCTCTTCCCCGTTCTCTCTTCCAATCCTTCCTCTTAAGGGCACAACCACTTGTTAAACATATTTTCCTTCCAGCTGTCATGTCAGTTACCTCAGGAAAGTATTCTGAAAAGCATCAAGAGAGCTTTGTGACTGACTGAGATTTTTCTGAGTGTAGGTTACCAAACAATAGGTTCTTTCAGAGAGCTTTGTCCACATTAGTAAATGTTTTGACTTTAGCCATTTATTTCATAGATGAGTGACTGAATCATTTGGATATTTCTCAACAATACAAGACAATCTTCTTGTTTGCTAATTGATGTCGAAGGGCCTAGTTCACTGTGGGTGATGCCAACTCTAGGGAGGTGAGCCCATTTTATATAAGAAAGGACATAGAGCAAGTCAGGGAAAGCAAAAGCAAATCCAAAAGCAACATTCATCCATGGTTTGTGCTTCAAGCACATGCCTTAGCTTCCCTCAATGACATGTGACATGGAAGCATAAGCCAAATAAACCCTCTTTCAACAAGTTGGTTG